CTGAAAAATATTATGTGTGGAAGGGAAGCATTATGAAATAAAGCTGTAGAGGCAGACAGGTGGAAGCCAGATTGTGGAAGATGTTCAATGACAGGCCAGGCTGCATTGACACTTTATCCTAGAAGCAATAGGGAGCTAATGAAGATGTTTGAAGAGGTGAATGACTTGTTACTTAGGAAGGTTATTTTTGGAAGTTATGTGTTAGATGGATTGAATAGAGGAGAGACTAGAAGCAGAAAGATCAATTCAATGGTTAATGTTGTAGGCCAGGTAAGATGGATTGAGGGAAATGGATTAGGTTTAGACACGCAAATTTGGGAGTCATCTGTACAGAAAGGTAATCATTGAATTTATGAGAGGAAATGAGATGAAAACTTATGAGAGTGAAAGAGGGAACGTAGAGAGAAAATGAAAGCCTTTTGGAGAACTTTGGGGCATACCCTTGAGCAGGGAGTGAGGCATAGCTAATAATTTAGCAAAGAACCTAAGAAAGACAGGTCAGATAGGAGGAGAATCAACAGAGAATGGTCAAATAAGCTAAGGGAAGAAAGAATATCCAGGACAAAAAGGGAACAGAGGATGAGGACTGAGAAAAGGCCATTGGATTTAGCAGTTAAGACATTGTTGGTAGGCTCAGAAAGTAGTTTCAGCCAAGTGATGAGGTTAGAATTATAGATTCTAAGACAGGGGTGGGGAACTTATGGCCTTGAGGCCACATGTGACCCTCTAGGTCCTCAAGTGTGGCCCACTGACTAAATTCAAACTTTGGATTCAGTCAAAGGGCCGCACTTAAGGTCCTAGAAGGCCACATGTGGCCTGGAGGTCACAGGTTCCTCACCCCTGTCTAAGGGGTTAAGAAATGAGTGGGAGAGGAGGAAGAAGACAGGTGGCTTGTTTAAGGAGTTTGTCTATGAAAGGGAGATCAGACCTGGGTTGAAATATAACCTCAGATACTTGGTAGCTGTGCGACCCTGGGGAATTCACTTAACCTCTGCTTCAGTTTCTTCAACTGTAAAATGGCGATAATAATACTAACCTCACAAGGTTGTTGTATCAAATGAGATATTTGTAAAGTGCTTAGCATAGTACCTGGCACAAAATAGATACTTAATAGATCTTTCCTTCCTTCTTCCTTCCCTCTCTCCCTCTCTCCTTTCTTTCTTCCCCGGCCATTATTTTTAAACCATGTTGCTTACACTCTTTCTATCAGCCTCATTCCAGCTCATCCCCTTCCTCCCCTCCCTGCCCCGCAATTTTTGATTCTGTCCTCGGGATGCTGGGTTCTGAGAGGTGTTCTTTTGCTTTATTTTTACATGGAACTAGGCCTACACATCCCTTCCTGGCCATCACTTCCAAGCTATGCCCCTTTCTAGCTCCCCATCCTGTGTTGCCTTTCCCCATTAGAATGGAAGATTCATGGGGGCAGGAGCTGTCCTGCCTGACAGTGTTTAATAAATGCCCCTCCAATTTATCTATTTGATAAAAGTTGAAAATATAGCAAGGTTAAATGAAGGCTTTCTATTTTTTAAAATAAAATTTAAATTGATATGGCTTGTTTTTACATAATCTGTATTTCCCAGTGTAGTCTTCCCCAGCCCCTCCCAGAGAGTCATCCTTTTTATCAAAGAGTTAAAAAAAAAAAAGGGAGGGGGGTGGAAGCCATTTCAGCACAACTAACCAACATATTGAAAAAGTCTGAAAGTGAAGACTTTTTAAACATGGGCTATACTTAAGCATGTTTGTAATGTGACTGGTAAGAGAGATTGAAGATGAAAGAGAAAGGAAGAGGGAGAATGAAAGAGAGGATGATTGAACCAGTTGGCTCCTAGAGGTGCAGGAATGGAAGGGATAAACGGCACAAAGAAAAGGGTTGGCTTCACTTACTTGTCTCCAAAGTCCCTTCCAGAACTAAAATTCTATTATTCTGTATTGCTTCTTGGGATTATTGTTGTTCAATCATGTCCAATTCTTTGTGACTCCATGGATCTCTGTCCTTGGGCTTTTCTTTGCAAAGATACTGGAGTGGTCTGCCATTTCCTTCTTCAGGGGCAAATGGAGGTTAAGTGACTTGCCCAAAGTCACACAGCTAGGAACTTTCTGAGGCTGGATTTGAACTCAGGTCTTCCTGATTCCAAGCCCAGAGCTCTATTCAATGCTCCATCTAGCTCCCTAAACTTCTTCTCAGCCCCCCAAATAAGTAATAGCACAGACTCTCATTTCAGCTATATTCATGTTATCATGGGCTCATGCCCACTGGGAAAAGCAGGCACAGGAAAAATGCTTCAAAGTACTAATAAGAGAAAAGAAAATTAAGATAACTTTTAGTTTTCACCTTACAAACTCAGCAAGTTGGTAAAGATAATAAAAATCAGAAATAGTTAATATTGGAGGTGCAACGGGAAGGCAAGGTATACTGATATACTGTTGGTGGAGTTATTAATAGCAGCAATACTTCAAGAAAATAATTTGGAATTATTCAAGAAAAGTTACTGAACTCTTCTTATTCTTTGATTTAGCAATTCAGCCAACAAGCATATAGCCTAAGAAAGTCAGAGAGAAAGGTTCCCACATACATTAAAAAAAATGTATTTATAGTGATACTTTGTTGTAGTAGCAAAAAAATCTGGAAATGATGTGGATTCCCATGGATTTGGAGAATGGCTGAACAAATGGTGGTACATGAATGTAATGAAACATTATTGGAATATTAGAAATGGTGAATATAAGAAATTCAGAAGGACATGGAAAGACTCATACGAACTCATGCAGAAAAAAGAAAGAATATATTTAATGATCAGGGCAGCAAGGTGGTGCCCTGGCTATAATACTGGGCTTAGAGACAGGAAGACTCTCTGAGTTCAAATCTGGTCTCAAGACACTTACTGTGTCTTGAATGGGATCACAGAGTCAGACACGACTAAAATGACTAAATAACAAATATATCTAATGATCATAACAATGTCAAATAAAAAATGTCAAGAGGCAGCTGAACTCCTGTTATTTGCAATGACCAACTTTTGATTCTAGAGAACGTGATGAAACACACTTCCTTCCACTGAGCTGAGAGGTGGGGGTGCAATGTTGTCAGTTGGGTTTTTGCTTAACGGTTTTTCTTTGGTGGTAGGGAAGGTGGGGGGAAGGGTAGATCAGGAGCTGAAGGCAAAAGGGAATAGATTTAAATAGATTTGAGCATAGAAAATTCAGAAATCACAGCATCTCAGAGATAGATGCAATTTCAACCCCCTGAACAAAGGATTCCTTTTATTTTTGAAAAGTGTTCATCTACTGAAGACTTTTTCCACTTTTTCCATCTTTTCCCACTTTCAGGCAGCTCTAATGGTTAGGAACTTTTTCTTTACATCAAGCTAACCTATGCCTCTCTTAAACTTCCACTCATTCTGTCCTCTGGGGCCATGAACAAGCCTAATTTCTCTTTTGCATGTTGTTTTTGAGTCACTTTTCAGTCATGATCAACTCTTCATGGCCCCATTTAGGGTTTTCTTGGCAGAGATACTGAAGTGGTTTGCCATTTCCTTCTCCAGCTCATTTTACAGATGAGGAAACTGAGGCAAACAGGGTGAAGTGACTTGCTCAGGGTCACACAGCTAGTAAGCGTGTGAAGTCAGATCCAGGCCTGTCACTCTGTGCACTATGGTGCTACCTGGCTGCTCTTTTGCATGATAACTCTTCAAGAAGGTAGCTATCGTGTTTCTTCTTTTCTAGGCTAATAATTCCACTTGTTTCAACTGATCCGCATTTGGTCAGCTGCATTTAAGGCTCTTCACTTGGTGGTGCCTCCCGTGGAGGTTATCCAGCCACAATCTTCCTGAAACATGGTCTTAGCTGAACAGTAGAACTCTTAGATCAGCAGGTTCGCTGGCCTGCGTATGTGCATGGGAGGCAGGGAGGTGGGGAGTGAAAAATCTTCCCACATCCTTTGGTCTCATCCCAGAACTTATCTTTGTCCACAGACATGTCGTTGTCCAGTTGTGTCTGACTCTTTGTGAGCCTGTGACCCCATAGCACTCCAATATTGGCCACAGGGTTTTCTTGGCAAAGACACTAGAGTGGTTTGCCATTGACTTCTCTAGTGGTTTAAGGCAAACAGAGATTAAGCAATTTGCCAGAGGCACTCAACTAGGAAGTGTCTGAGACCAGATTTGAACTCAGGCCTTCCTGACTCCAGGCCTAGACAGGGACATTCTCTAATCCCTTCTCAAGCAAGCCTGGGAGAAGTGGGAAGGAGAAAGGAAAGGGGAGTGGCTGTGGGTCCCTTTGTCTACTGTTTTTCCCCATTCCCACATCCCTTCCTAAATTAGGCCCCATTAATTTCATTATGCTCATAGTTCTTTTGTGGAGGTCTGGTCCTAGGGGAAATATGTCTCCCCCAAACTCTGCTCCTGCCTCTACTTGCTTCTCCCACTAATGGCTTTAAGAAATTTAGTCTCAGCAAAAATCATGTATTAATAATAACTAACATTTAAATGACGCTTACTATGGGTGAGATACCGTGCTAAGCACTTTAATTCAGACACATGCCTTCTATGGTTTAACATGACTAAAAAATTCAAGGCTAGCTCAGCAGCCAACCTTTAATGATGGGTCTCCTCCACAATTAATTAGGTGGGATACTCCTCAGATATTGGATTGTCTCCAAGACCATCCTTGCAGCCTTTCCAACTTAGCAACCTCTCTCAATTGTACTCCGCTTGCCTGGCCTACCAGAACACAGGGTTGCTTTCTTGCCATGATAGCTTGTCAAAGAACATTGGTGGGTAATCATAAAAATAACTGACACCTACGGACAGCATGTTAACATTTGCAAAGATCTCGGAAAAATTATCTCACTGAAGACGAATGTATACTGCTCAAATTATGTCACAGAGTTAATTTTATCCTGGACAGCTGCTACCCTATGGGCACATATGCAGCATTCTGGCCCATCATGTAGTATTCTCCCAGTGGTGTTATGTTGCACCCAATC